TTCGAGCCACAGAATTCGTTTTGGCATCGTTGGATAGAGAATTGAAAAGTCGATTCAGTCGTAACAACGTGAGTGAGGAAATTCGATTAGTTTTGACTCAGAAAGTGAAATTTGAATATCAGATACTTAGGTGCAAGATTATTCCAAAATTTCATGTTTTCCGTCCCGTTTTTGCTCATATCTCGGAGGCAAAATGAGCAAAAACGTTCATTTGTACATCATTGTAGACAGAAATGAATGGCCGTTTTAGGGCGAGTACAATTTCATCTTTACTTCTTTACTGACTCATGTTGATTTTAGTATTCCTGTAAGTTTAAAAATTTTGAAGAACGCGCGATTTTATGGAGCCTTTTTTTTGGTGAGGTTTTGGACCACCCAACCAGCTCTAGATGTGCGTAACAGAGCATTTCCAAAACCTCACCAGATGGAGCTCTTAATAATGAAAGAAAAATGAGTCTACCGATTTTCTACTGAAAAGTGTCGAGTTTATCTACCGAAACTCGATTTTCGGACCTGGCAACCCTGCTTGAGCCCGATTTTGCCAAACGCCATCTGATCCAGGCCGTAGTTTCCTTTTGTGTGTTTGGCAAATAAATTTCAAAGCAGTGCACTTTACAACTTTTCGCTAATTGGCCACGCTTTGAGTCGTCCAAACGTACAGAAAACATCAACTTCCTCTTCTAAAGGAGACTTAATTAATATCACCCAGATAATCTCCTAGATAAATCGCGCACAAAATAATTAGAACATCGAACATTCGAGGCCCAATTACCAATTGATTTTAAATTTAATAACAAATCCAGCGATGCCATGTAATAGCGTCCTTAGGGAGGTTTAACATGGGTAAACATAATATGTGTTTAACTATTTAGTGAAACCACAGCGCCAAGGTTAAGAGGACCGTTAATTATGGGGCCTGGCTTCGTTATTCTATGAACGCTGACCGAAAACTGATACATAATGTGCGCTTGAAACTATTCCAGTGTGTGATTTTGTAATATTAATAAATGATTTGTTCTAACTGCCTTGAGATACTCTTGGAAGTTGTGCACATGGCTATCTGGAGAAAATGGGGCATAAGACCTCACGGTAATTATTGTTAGTGCTGCAAACTTTATGCAGCCCTAAAATTGCTTGTTTCGTGAGCTTCAGGAGTTTTGGTGATATTTAGACACAATTTAATGATCGACGGTTCTAATTAATAAACATTAACTCGTTAGGGTTGCACTAGAGTGGAGGCAATTTTTTTCGGTAAAATTCAACTTAAATTTCCGCTTTTCCTCCAAATCCGTTCTGTCAAAATGTTTAGTGGGAATCGCGCCAGATGCACCAATACCATGACTGCTTTCGACCCAACGAAAATTCAAATAATTTTATTTTCTTAACGCTGCCGCATTTAAATGAGGTATTATTCAAATTTCATTCAAAACTTTTGGATCTGTAACGAACTTCCTGGCCGATGTTGGTGTCTAAGGAAATTTAAAGTGTGCCTGCAACTTTCAGTGATATCCGACAACTCAAAGAAACATTTCCGTGTCTTTAGTAAACTTTGTTCATTATTTTTTCTTAAATAGTGTTTAATTTTATTTGAAACTAAAGAGTTTTTTGAGGATTTAGGTAGCTGTAAAGTACATTTTCAGAGATTCCTTGTTTGTCGCATCAACTATCCAGGGGCGGATCCAGCTTTACATTCAGGGGGGGGGGGGGAATATGTAGAAAAAATACAGTCTTCCGTTGCCTATGAAATTAGAAAAATTATCGTCGTTTTGTGCAAGG